CACCTTGGCTTTTCAGAGTTTCCACATAACTCTTTAAAAACATTAAAGCAATTTTGGAGATTTTGGTTTAAAAAAAGAACATTCTCGTCGAAAAAGAATTAGGTTTCAGAGAATTAATATTTTTCTGTTCTAAGTATCTTTCTCAAATGTCCCTTTTTTCTTTGCTGAATACATTATTGAGGATTCTGTTCCATTCCTTAACATATGAACATGTAAGGATTTTTCAAAGTTAGTCTCATGTCTTCAGATTTTAACTCCAGGAAAAACCAGCACAGAGGGCATAGCATATTGCTACTGTATATATACAGTATTGCAATTTTGAGATTCCTATTTAAAGCAAGTTAACACAGTATGCAACTCTCTCAATTTCTAACACTTAAAAAGTTACATTGGAAGTTCCTCTCTTCTATTAAGTTTGGCAGATTGCCTGGCCGAATGAGACCTGAGCATGGAGAAGCCAAAAAAAAATTAAAGCCAAAAAAAGCTCTCCCATTTATCTTCTTTTACTTCCCATTTTCTTAGTAATCAAAACACTTACTATTGCCATAAATTTGTATATACTGCAGGTCACGGCAAGTATATGATTTCTCTTCCACACAAGGAGAAAAATTATACAGGTTCCTAAAACTTGTACCGTATGTGCTAGTTACATAAATTATACATTTGCTTCTATATATATACAAGCAAGTGTATAAATGCTTTCTGTGAATAAAACTGCAGTATATTTCAACAGAGTGGCAAAAGTTACAGCTACAGATCAGTACTCTATGCTAATTAGATGATGAGCTGCCTCAAGCATCCTGCCCTTCCCTCCAAAGACCCTTTATGGTGAGGTTCACCGACAAATGCGCACACGACAAAGCGCGCCAAAAAAACCGTGGCAAGAAAACCGTGACGTTGAAATCGCGCCGACAACAGCGCGCCAACAAAAGTGTGCAATCAACAAACAACGCNAGTAAAAGTACACTTGATTTCTACCTATGGAGTCTCGTGGTCCTCCTTCCTAATTACTCAATGAAGAGGTGCTGACAGCCAGTTTGGTTTAATAGTTAAGGCAACAGGTTAGAGACTGGGAGGTTGAGAGTTCTAGTCCTGCCCGAGAAATACAGCCAGTTGAGTGACCTTGGGCCAGTCGCTCTTTCTCAGCCCTAAGAAGCAAGCAAGCGCATATCACTTCTGAAATGTCACTAAGAAACTCTAGAGTCCTGTCCAGATAGTTGCCAGGAATCAACGTTGGCTCACACAAAAAAAAGAGGAGAGGAGAGGAAAGGAGATAAGACAAGACAAGACAAGATGAGCTCCATGACAGAAGATATTTTCATGCAAAAGATTTCGGATTCAACTACGGTAGTAAATCAAGACCAAAAAAAAAAAAAGCCTTCACTAAAACTCTTCTAAAATAAAATAAAAACAAATTTTAAAATCCCAGGAAATCAGTCCAATGGCCTGACTCAGTTTAAATATGTCAGAGCTGACAAACTGCAACCTTTTAATCTTCAGGTGCCACATCAACTATGCGGTCAGATGATATCACTGTTACTAATCCTGTTATCTTGCTATCTATTTGGATTTCGAAACAGCTGACATACCGTCAAAAGGATTCTCTTGAAACCAGCCGGAAACCTATCCAGCAATATTTAGTTTTTAAGTTAAAAACAGAAGAGAGCGGAAAAGGGCAGTTTAACAGTTAAATTTGACACGCATAGGAGCAAAGTCATTCCATCTATTCATTTTGGGAACAGTTGTCTGGCTGCTTAAAGCCTTCAGTCACTTGTGGAGCTGAGAAGATAGAGCTCTCTGAGGAATAGCTCTTTTTTAGCCCTTGCTAGCCACGTTTTTATTTTTATTTTTAGGAAAGCAAGAAAGACCCAGCTTCCCAAATGAGCAGAACTTATTAAAAGAACTGAAATAAAAGCTTCAAGAGTATGCTAATGGCAGATGAAGCAGCCATGCATGGTGATACTGAATTTTAAACACTTTATTAGCTTGTATTAATAATGCAGTTTGTCCTCTTCCATTTTGCTTTTATAAAAATAAAGAGGAATGGTTGATGTATTTTGTAATAAATGATACTAGTATTTTTTTTTAAAGATAAATGCAGGAAACTACAGTATAACTTCCTCTCTCCCTTCCTTCTTTCTACACATTTACTGCAAGCTCTTAAGAATACTCATAACACGCAGCAAGACTGCTGGTGGTGCAATACTGGAAGAAGGAAGATTTGCCTACTATTCAAGAATGGACANGCAATAAAGATGAGGCTAGAAACAACACCAGAATGTTTCCTTCCTGCCTTCCTTACAGGAATAGTCCTGTAAAGTGGAAAAAAGCAAAAGGAGATTTCTTCCACTGAACTTACTAAACCTACCAAAGATCTGGACAGGAATCTTCTGATATGCTTGAAGTCACACCCGGGAGCTTCAGCCCCAATTAATAGTAATTAAATGCTCTCCAACCCCTTGGCAAGGAGAACTGCACAGCAGACTGCCAGCTTGAAGAAAATGCGCTCTTGAGGTTGGACTATCATGCTTTGGGAAACTGCCAAATGCAATTTGTACTCAATAGGGATTATAGAGCTTGATGTATGAGGAGAGAAAATACTTTTTTTTTTGCTTTTGCTTTTCATGAGATTTTTGTTGTAGTTGAATCAAAACTCCCCCCATTTATCATGAGCAACATCTGATATGTAGAGGTTTTCAAATATTGACCAAGTTTTTATAGTTTCGACATGCAGGAAGAAAGGTACTCATGCAATTCTCACGGTGATTTTTCCAATCTGATGTTCTTGAAATGGAATTATAGCAATAGAAATAGGCCTTAGACTTATATACCGCTTCATAGTGCTTCACAGCCCTCTCTAAGCGGTTTACAGAGTCAGTCTATTCCCCACAACAGTCCTCATTTTATCGACCTCGGAACTGAGGCTGAGTCAACCTTGAGCCAGTCAGAATTGAACTCCTAGCTGGGGGTGCAGAATTAGCCTGCAATACTGGATTCTAACTACTGCACTACTATGGTTCCTATGGAGTGAGGGAATTGTGGTATTTCATAGCCATAGCTGAAAATTAACATACCTTGCTTAAAATGCTAGTTAGTGTAGATCTGCTCACTCCAACATTTCTTACAGTTTATTTAGAAGTAAATCCTGCTATGTCCCATTCATTAGAATTGGTTTCAGATTGCAGGCACATGTGGAAACCTGCTTCCCTTCATTTGGTAGAAATCCACAATGGGTCTTCTTGCATTAAGATCTTCTAGAATTGCAATTTGTTGATATAAGACTTTATGGAAGCTATAGACAATATTTGAATGAGAACCTGTAGCTCCATGTCAAAAGCCAGTGTCAGCCTCTGCTTTGCTGCTGCTTCGGCTGCCATGAAACGGGGAGGGAGGGCATGGTATTTGGGAGGGGTTTCCACATG